CCCCCCCACCCACACACACACACATATCCTGCAACAGTAATGGGTATTTGATGTGGATCATTTGCCTCACAGCATGAATAGTTTGATCTGTAGGTGTTGGGTACTCAAGCTGTGCACCCAAAAACCAACATGACTGGAACTTCATTGTATATATAGCTTCTAAATGAGATTAAATTCCTAACTAGGTGAATATTTAAGATATAACACAGATTAAAACATAAATAGGTAATTACAGTAAAATAAAAAAATAGTGTGTGTGTGTGTGAATATCCAATTTAATTAAATAATATCTAAGTTAAAAAAAAAGTGTTTCAGTTTACACAATTTTTTACTTAGTCTTACTTTGGCAACCTTTCAATCAAGAAAATGATAAACATTCCAGTGACTAATTTCCAGCCCACTCTATAAGTCTTGACTGATTCAAAACTAAAAAAACTATAGAAAAAGTAATTTTATTCTGGTAGCATTAGAACTATCAAATGTATATTAAGTTCAATCACTTCTTACATTCTTAAACCTTATGTAATCGACTCAATTATACAGTCTCGAAAGAAAAAAAAAAGGCCTAGAGCCAGTTTGCCTTTGTACTGGGAGATCAAGGTAAAATCGGCCTGAAACCTGTACGTCACCGGCCTCAACCGGTTCCTAACACTCAGTACCTCAGTTAGCTTCGTAAAAGTACCTAGAACCGTGTACTGGCGTTAGCAATAATTTTACAAACCATCGCTTGCTTGCAAAAGAAAGCGGCGAGCTTCATCGTCATTTCCGCCACACTTCTTGCATGACAGGCGTCCAGGATCGAAATATTCGTCATCTTGACAGAATTTTCTATTTTGGAATGGAATTATATAACTAGAAAAGCATGAGTGAATAATGCAAAGCCAAATAAATAACACTAAAGAAGAAAACGCACTACACATCTCCCCCTCTTTCCTCACATAATAACCATCTTCGTTTACACGGTCGCTTACTAGTCCGTAACGCCCTCTCGTGGAAGTCTTCAAAAGAGTTTATTATTTATTTATTGATCATAATATAATCAATAGTCTTACACTCGCCATGCGCTAAGTTCAGCAAATCTTCGTCCTGCGCAAGCCTATAAATGTGAATGACCTATGTTTTAGTCCAATGACAAAAGTCCAACAAAATTTAGAACCTAAAAGTACAGTAGTTAAACAGAAATCTATCAGCGAAAGAGTCGTGCTCTAAAATTTATCAATAGATTTTTACCTGAGATATGCAAAGAACTGGTAAATTAAAAGTAACTTTTTTACCACTGAAATAGTATTAAACGTCCTTGTACAGTTTCACGGCTGAACGATCGAGTAACTAAATATACTTCACTCAATTAAACTGATTGGTTAGGGAAAGACTAATTAATGGGGTTTGTACGGTGGTTGATAATAAAAAACATGGTGGACCTTTGTTCAACTGACAGCTCTTCTGAAATGATTTAATGAAAAATAATAAATTGACGACTCACAATAATATGTTGTATAAAATTAAATGAAAAAGCTAAAGAACTATTTCAGTCTTTCAATGAAACAAGATCCACCAATTCTTATATATATATCCTCTACATAACACACATAACTTATACATAACATACACATAACAACATAAAATATACATAACATAACATAGCATACACATAACAACATAAAATGTACATACGTAACATACACACATAGCAACATAACATAACAACAAACACACACACGAATATATACATAGTTACCTTGCAGTGAGTCGGAATGGAAGAGACAGTACTGTTGCGTCAGCGAGGTCACGTGACTAGTATCACGCCACGTCCTTCTCGAACCTTCGTGAATTATCGGGAGACTACTAGATTGGGGATAGTCTGGTATATATAAGACGGTCACAATGAGACGGGACAATGAGTAATTGAATAGCAGTCAGACAGTGTGTAATTGAACTGAGTATTGTTGAAGCGTTTGTTACAGCGCGACTGTTGAAATTAAGTGTATCGCAAAGTTATATTCGGAAAGAATAAAAAGGTTTTATTTAAGAAAGGACTTGTATCGCTAAAATTTAGTCGGAAAGAATTTAAAAAAAATTAACTGACGAACGGAGACGTAACAAATTGGTGTCAGAAGTGGGATAGAA